GTTATGATGCTGATGATGCTGATGATGCTAATGATGCTAATAATGTTGATGATGCTGATGATGCTGATGATGCTGATGATGCTAATGATGCTGATGATGCTGATGATGCTGATGATGATGCTACTGATGCTGATGCTGCTGATTATGCTGCTGGCGCTGATGATGCTGATGATGACGCTGATGATGATGATGATGATGATGCTGACGCTGATGATGCTGATGCTGATGATGAAGCTTATTTTGATGTTGATGCTGATACTGATGCTGCAAATGCTGCTGAGGCTGATGATGTTGATGATGCTGATGATGCTGATGATGCTGCTGAATTTGATGCTGATGATGCTGATGCTGATGCTGATGCTGATGCTGATGCTGCTGATGCTGCTGATGCTGCTGATGCTGAAGCTGATGCTGCTGATGCTGCTGATGCCTATAATGCTGATGCTGATGCTGATACTGATGATGCTGATGCTGATATTGATGTTGATGTTGATTTTGCTGATGATTCTGATGATACTGTTGCTGATGATGCTGAGAATGCTGCTGATTATGATGCTGATGATGCTGATGCCGCTGATAATGCTGATGATGCGGATGATGTTGATGCTGATGATGCTGATGATGCTGATGATGCTGATGATGCTGATGATGTTGATGATGCTGATGATGCTGATGATGATTATGATGCTGATGATGCTGATGCTGCTGAAACATCTTTGTCAGCGTCAGCATCAGCATCGTCAGCGACAGCAGCAGCATCGTCAGCAGCATTGTCAGCATCAGCATCAGCATCAGCATTATCAGCATCACAATCAGCTGCTTCAGCAGCGTCAACATCAGCATCAGCAGCATAAACAGAGTCAGCAGCATCATAAGCATCAGCATCATTAGCAACAGCATCAGCATCAGCAACATCATCATCAGCATCAACAACATTAGCATCATCAGCATAATCAGCATCATCAGCATAATCAGCATAACTGCGTCATCATCAGCAGTATCAGCATGAGCTTCAGCATCAAAAGCATCAACATCAGCATAAGCATTAGCAGCATCAGCAGCATCTGCATCGTCAGCATCAGCATCATTAGCATCAAAATCAGAAACATCATCAGAATCATCAGCATCAACATTATCAGCATTACCAGCATTATCAGCATCATCAACAGCATCATCATAAGATTCAGCAGCATCAGCATCAGCAGCATCAGCATCAGCATCAGTCGTAAAAGCATCAGTATCAGTATCAGCATCAGCATTAGCAGCTTCAGCAGCATCAGCATCAGTATCATTAGCATCAGCATCATCATCAGCAGCAGCATCATCAGCGTCAGCAGCTTCATCATCAGTGTCATCATTAGCATCAGCAGCGTCAGCAGCGTCAGCAGCGTCAG